AAACCAGATACCTGCTTTCAGCAGCAGAGGCCTCAGAGCTGGAGCCAGAGCTAAAGCTGGCCCAGAATAAAAAAAGAAAAGAAAAAAGGAGCAGTTGGGAGCTTCAGTCACCCACCAGCCTGAAAACAGCCCTCAGCCCCTCACCCAGACTGGCCAGGCACCCCAGTGGGAACCCCCATCCTGAAGGGTGTGTGATCAGCTGCAAACAGCCATCATCCCCTCACCCAGGCTGGCCAGGCACCCCAGTGGGGACCCCCACCCTGATCCAGGACACCCTTCAGGGCAAACCAGCCAGCCCCCACACATGCACCAGGCCTCTATCCTATATAGTAAAAGGGTAATATGCCTCCCAGCACCAGGATCAGCGGAGCCGCAAGGCCTCCCGGCACCGGGATCAGCATGACAGGGGGCAGTGCCCAAACCCCCTGATCGCCCTGTGGCTCTGTGTGTGACAGGGGGCAGGGCCACAACCTCCCTATCTGCCCTGCTCTGTTTGTGACAGGGGAAGGCGCCCCAACCCCCTGATCAGCCCTGCTCTGTGCCTGATAGTGGGGAGCTCCCCAACCCCCTGATCGCCCTGCAGCTCTGTGTGTGACAGGGTGCGGCGCCCCAACCCCCTGATTGGCCCTGCTCTGCTCTGTGTGTGACAGGGGAAGGCGCCCCAACCCCCCCCCCCCGAAACGGGCCCTGCTCTGTGTGTGACAGGGTAGAGCTATAACCTCCCCATCGGCCCTGCCCTGAGTGTGACAGTGGCGGCGCTCCAACCCCCTGATCGGCCCTGCTCTATGGGTGATAGAGGGCGGTGCCCCAACCGCCCCCCACGGGCCCTGCTCTGTGTGTGACGGGGTAGAGCAATAACCTCCCCATCGGCCCTGCCCTGAGTATGACAGGATGCAGCGCCCCAACCCTGTGATCCGCCCTGCTGTGTGTGACAGGGGACGGTGCTCCAACTCCCCTATCGGCCCTACTCTGTGAGTGACAGGGGGGAGCTCCTCAACCCCCTGATCGCCCCTGCTCTGTGCGTGACAGGGGGGAGCTCCCCAACCCCCTGATGGGCCCTGCTCTTTGCGTGACAGGGGGGAGCTCCCCAACCCCCTGATGGGCCCTGCTCTGTGCGTGACAGGGGGGAGCTCCCCAACCCCCTGATGGGCCCTGCTCTGTGCGTGACAGGGGGCAGTGCCCCAACCCCCTGATTGGCCCTGCTCTGTGCATGACAGGGGGTGGCGCTGTAACCTCCCCATCGACCCTGCCTTGAGTGTGACGGGGGCGGTGCCCCAACCCCCCAATCGGCCCTACCCTGAGCGTGACTGAGGGTGGCATCGCAACCTCCCGATCCGCCCTGCTCTGTGCATGACAGGGGGCGGCGCCCCAACTCCCCAATCGGCCCTGCTCTGAGCCCAACCAGGGATTGGGCCTGCCCTCTGCCACCCGGGAGCAGGCCTAAGCCAGCAGGTCGTTATCTCCCGAGGGGTCCCAGACTGCGAGAGGACACAGGCCGGGCTGAGGGACCTCCCCCCCCCCCCCCGAGTGCACAAATATTTGTGCACCAGGCCTCTAGTCTATATATATAAAAGGCTAATATGCTAAGTGTCTGTCTGACCAGTTACTATGTTGCATACTGACCACAAGGGGCAGACACTCAATGCAGGAGCTGCCATGACACGCACTGGCCATTTACATAGACATGGCACCATGGACCTGGTGCCCACAAGGCAACACTCGGCTTTCCCCAAGTGGGACACAGGTCCCGCCACCAACCCGGAGCAACAGTCCACCAAATCGCAGCTAACACTGCTGAGACCCCATGGCGCAAGATGCTGCCCAGAGCCCAGCCCAGCCCAGCCCAGAAATGGTGGCTGTGGGCGCCGGGTAATGACGTCACGTAGTGATGCCCAGCTTCCTCTCCGTAGTGATGTGTTGGGGTCCAACCCCAACAGGTCCAGGGGTTCCCAAAGGTGTGGACGGAGTCGGCAAAGAAGGAATGACATGGAGACAGTGTTCAGTTGATCAGCATAACGAGGTTCTTTTTTTATTCTCCTGTTACATCTGTATTTATACCATTTGATTTTAATCCTATCCATTCTATTCCAAAGGTTAGGGCGTTTGTTATCTCCATTCCAAGGTCACTACTCTATTGTTCTGTTAAGCTACAAGGAAGTAACTGAAGGAGATTATCCTAAATGGAGATTATCCTAAGTAAAGTTTATATAGCTTAAGCGTGATTGTTCGTAGTTAAAGTGATTACCCGCCTGGCACTTAGTTAAGGGGTTTTACTGATTCCCTTCCTTAGTCCTGTTAATCCCTAACTCCAGGGAAAAATCCCCACCTGGGGAAACAACCTTTCTCAGAGAGGTGACCTTGGTTAAAACACATAGCGCCAAGAAGGGAAGCAATCATATTAACACATTGTTTGTGGGTAATTTTTATCGCATGCTAACAGGTGGCGCGGGCCATTTTTGCAGTTGAATAGATTGATTACTGTTATACCTGGAAGTACATACATAATTCACCATTGTATGTGTTAGAGACCCAAATTTTGTCCTTTGGAATTCGTATATCTGCATGTTAGCATCCCTTTAGAGCAATAAAAAAGTATAAAAATAAACGTATTTATATGTTACCCGCATCCTACCGCTAGTCCAGGGGTGGGCAAACTTTTTGACTCGAGGGCCACAATGGGTTCTTAAACTGGACCGGAGGGCCGGAACAAAAGCATGGATGGAGTGTTTGTGTGAACTAATATAAATTCAAAGTAAACATCATTACATAAAAGGGTATGGTCTTTTTTTTTTTTTTTAGTTTTATTCATTTCAAACGTAGTTTGCCCACGGCTGCGCTAGTCTATAAAAAACGTATTAATACGTGTCCCGTGCTCTACTACTAGTCAACGTAAAACATATAAATATGTTTTCCGCATACAATGTCTTAAGAACAGTATGCCATATACACCAGGTCCCTTGAAACATATGCTGTGCAGATGTTTCTTCCCTGCAGCGACTGTGTCAAGCAGCAAGGATGGACCAGTTTCCGGCAAATTCCCCCTTTTGTATTTTTTATTTTATTTTATTTTTTTCTCTCTGGTTTATTTTAACCTGTCAACTCAGTACTGTTATTTGTTAAGAACTGAGGTGCCACTGGGCTGCCAGGTCACTGTCTCCATGCCTGGGACTGGAGTTAAAGCGCATCTGTAAACACTGGCCACATTAACCCCTGCCTGCCCCTCCCCCCTTTTTACTTTTTAAATGATAGCACATGTAAATCAGCAGCAACCTCTCGGATTGGGTTGTTTAAGACTCGGAAGACCTGTTTGTGACTTTGTCAACAGGTCAGTCTGAGGCTTAACCCTATATCAGCTCCCCACAGTGAGGACTAGCCTCCTTGCAGTTTCTTCAGCCCAGGAACACAACTTGCTTTATAGCCAGGTGCAAACATTTCACACGTTAACCAAATGTCCGTGAAGCGTTTTCCCCTGCCTCATCTCATTTGATCCTCACAGAAGTCCTGGAGTAGGTAGATAGGAGACTATTTTCTTTTCATTAGCCGGAAAATGGAGATTTAGAAACTTGACCCAACTGAAAAGAAGTAAGAATTGGTGGACCTTGAAAATGACTTCAGGTTTTCTCACTGTACAGGATATAGTCAAACACTGCTACAGTTAAATATTTTACCCTTTGTTCTCCCTGCATGATCTACAATAATAATCTGCTTCATGTTGATATTTACTGCTGTATTGCTGCAAATTACCTGAAAGAGAAGTTGGGGTGCTTCACTGGGCTGGAAAAAGTTTAGCTAAGTCAGAAAGCAAGTCTAATTAAGCAAGTTTATTCTATATCTATAAAAGCCTAAGTTGACTTGTGCATGCACCATACATATAAAGCTCTTGCTGGCGCCAATCACATGTGTGTGTTTTGATTTGTCATTGTAGATTGTGAAATTGGTTGACACTTCCATTATAGAGAAAGGGCAAATAGCGATATTAAAATATTTCTTCTAATTAATTTTCTTTCAATGTGCACAAATCTGTGCATTGGGCCACTAGTGTGTGTATATAGTAGTTGTTGATTGAGGAAAGGAGAGGGAAAGAGATAGAAACATCAATGACAAGAGAGAATCATTGATCAGCTGCCCCATGCACATGCCCTATTGGGGATCGGCCCACAACCTTGGCATGTGCCCTTGACCAGAATTAAACCTGGGACCCTTCAGTCCCCAAGCAGACACTCTGTACACTGAGCCAAACCATTTAGGGCTTTCCATTGATTTTTAGAGAGAGTGGAAGGAAGGTTGAGAAACATTGATTCATCAACTGGTTGCCTCTAGCACACACTCTTACTGGGCCAGTGATCAAGACTGCAACCAAGGTAAGTGCTCTTGACTGGAATCTAACCTGGGACCCTTCAGTCCGAGAGCCTACGCTCTATCGACTGAGCCAAACCAGCTATGACCTGTCTCTTCACTTTATAACCAATGACTGGCTAATGCCACCCTATACTGATTTTTAAAATTTTTTAAATATATTTTTATTGATTTCAGAGAGGGAGAGGGAGAGAGAGATAGAAACATCAATGATGAGAGAGACTCATTGATTGGCTGCCTCCTGCAGGCCCCCTACTTGGGATCAAGCCCATAGTGTGGGCATGTGCCCTTGACTGGAATTGAATCCGGAACCCTTCAGTTCTCAGACCGACTCTCCATATCCACTGAGCCAAACCAGCTAGGGATTACAATGTTTTTTATTGATTTGAGAGAGAGAGGAAGGGAGAGAGAGATAGATACATCATTAACATCATTGAGAGAAACATCAATATTGATTGGCATGCCGTCTGCTGGGGATCGAGCCTGCAACCCCAGCATGTGCCCTGATTGGGAATTGAACCATGACCTCCTGGTTCATGGGTCAACACTCAACCACTGAGCCACACTGGCTGGGTATACTGATTTTTTTCAGCTACAAATTCTTAGATATTAATAAAAGTTCCTTTTTTTTTTTTTTTGGCCAGGGGAAGAATGTGAACGCAGTCCTCTGCTACCACAAATTATGCAGTCGAGTTTCCCACACTTGGGGAAATCACAGGGGTCAGCACGTCCACAGTACAATGGCTAAGACTCGCCCTGGGAAAACCATCTTCGTGATCACGAAGATGGTATCTCCCCTGCCAGGTAAGCACCAGTTGATTTTATGTGACTAGAAAGCTAATGTGTGGGGATCTAACACACAACATTTTAATATTATACCCTTCCAAGTTGTGGACTTGTTCCAAATGTTAAGAGGCTTGGATCTCTGCAGTTTGTCCAGTCAAGCAAATCATTAGAGGACTTGAGCTGAAATTATCTCAACTGACACTTGTTTCAGGAATGCTGCCATTATACAAAATATTTCTGGAACTCCTTCACAGAAACGTAGCTAGTTTATGAGCCACATTTAAATGATTCACTACTTCAAAATTACTTTTTTGTTGTTGTTAATCCTCACCCGAGGATATTTTTCCATTGATTTTTAGGGAGAGTTAGAAGAGAAAGACAAAGACAAAGAGAAACATCAATGTGAGAGAAATTCATCGATTGGTTACCTCCTGCACAAGCCAAGCCGGGACCAGGGCCTGGCCCCGGGAGGAGCCTGCAATCCAACCGAGGTTCGTGCCTTGACCAGAATCAAACCCAGAACCCTTGATCTATTCACTGGGCACACCAGCTAGAGCAGAATTACCTTTTTAAAAAAGCTGATCCATTAGCCACTTTATCATTTATCTGTTTTCCAGACTTCGTTCTAGATTACTTCTGGAATTGCCCAGAGGCCCCATTCTTAGCCTTCTTATTCTCTCCTTTAACTTAACGTTTGCATTAATTCTTAGAACGTCTTGATCGCCTCTGGGTGGATAACTCCCAGCTCCACAACCTTAACCCTGACTTACTCCTAAGCTCCAGACCCACATTTTCATTTCCACACCTGTACGTAGCAGCACTTTGAGTTCCGTGTTCCCCAAATGCGCTGGTTACTTCACCCCTGAAACCTGCTCATCCTTTCCTCCCTATTCAGGTTAATAGCACTGCCTTCTCTACACAGACTAGAAACCTGTCTTTATGACTCATCTTTGGTTAAGTGCAGTGATTAGGAGCACAGACTCTGAAATGACTTTTTGGGTTCAAACCCCGGTTCTAATTGCTGTGTGAAGTTTGTCCTTTGTTTCAGTTTCCCCACATAAAAAATGGAGATGATAATAGTGCCTTTTATAAAGTTCAGATGACTAGATGTTTAATATTTGCCTGACTCACAGTAAATGCCATTCCTCACAGCCAACGTGTGACCCTTTTCAGAACTCAGTTCCAATGATTCCTCTGAGAAGCCTTCCCTCCTGCATCCCATCAGGTGGGTAGTTGACCCCTTTCTTCCTCATTGTCCCATTGAGTCCTCATCTACTAGCAATATATTATCCTGTATTTCCCACTATTTGTTCCAGTGCATCTACCAAGCTGAAACTTCCTTTACAGCAGGGGTGGGGGACGTCCAGCCTGTGGGCCATATAAAGCCCACGAAATCATTTGGTCTGGCTCTGCCAAAGCATTAGGGGTGAGTTAACTAAATGTTTCATCAAATATAGCAGGCTAATTTTTTAAAAAAAAATATTTTATTGATTTTTTATAGAGCGGAAGGGAGAGGGATAGAGGAGTTAGAAACATCGATGAGAGAGAAACATCGATCAGCTGCCTCCTGTACACTCCCTACTGGGGATGTGCCCGCAACCAAGGTACATGCCCTTGACCGGAATCGAACCTGGGACCCTTGAGTCCGCAGGCTGATGCTCTATCCACTGAGCCAAACCAGTTAGGGCTAAATTGATAATTTGTTATGAATGATACTATACATATCCAAATGCCCTTGGCAGAAAAAAGGTTCCCCACCCCTGCTTTAAAGACTTGTTTCTCAATTATTTGTGTATCTCAAATGCCTAGCACCACACCTGGCACATGACAAGTATGCTATAAATGTTGGCTGAGTGAATCTAGTCAGTTACTAAGCTCTGTCAATTTTTCTACCTGGATGTCTATCTTCTTTCCTGCTTTTTCAAGCTCTAAACCTCTCACATAAATTACTGCAAAGCTTATTAGTATCGTCAAAAATTTTTGCTGTCTTCCCATTGCCACTAAAATCATGAGTTGGAAGTCACTCTTCTTCTCAAAAACTTACTATAAGATTGAAGTCCAAATAACCTGCTGCCATGTATTCAAGGCCTTCCAAGGATTAGCCCTAAATTATTTCTAGCCTTATTTCCTTCAAAAAATTCTATGCTCCAGATTACGCTAGTCTTTTCTTTCTTCAACATATCCTTCATCTCCACTTGTGTTTTTTTGTTAAATATGTTTTTATTGATTTCAGAGAAGAGAGAGGAGAAACGTCAATGATGAGAACTATTGATCGGCTTCCTCTTGCACGCCCCACACTGGGGATCAAGATCACAGCCTAGGCATGTGCCCTGCCTGGGAATTGAACCATGACCTCCTGGCTTTAGGTGGACACTCAACCACTGAGCCATGCTGGCCGGGCTCCACTTGTTTTTATCCATGCTGTGGATAAAAACAGAGTTTGCAAACTGGTAGATCCTAAATTTTTTATTCTTTGGCCCGCACGCATTTTTAAAAAGAAACTGAACCAATGTTTAAGTTGTGAGATTTAGCATAAACATTAGGAAGAGCAAAGTTCTTGAAATATAAGATTTGGCAATACTGGGCCCCTTTGCTCGTTAGCAGCAACCAACCAGAGCTGCACTGCCAGCTGCCCCATTCTCTCAGGGCACATATTCGTCACCAACCAGCTTTAAAAGATCTCCCTGCAAATGCACAAGATCAGGCTAGTGGCAGGACAACTGGGTCTGTCTCCTGATGTTACATAACACAAAGAACATCTTTCCTGTGATGTCTGCTACCCCCAGACTGTTTAACTTGAATCTCTCAGACTCTAGATCTGTTTAGCAAAAATATCAGCTAGACTCGCAGCGGTTCTCAACCTGTGGGTCGCGACCCCTTTGGCGGTCGAACGACCCTTTCACAGGGGTCGCCTAAGACCATCCTGCATATCAGATATTTACATTACAATTCATAACAGTAGCAACATTACAGTTATGAAGTAGCAACGAAAATAATTTTATGGTTGGGTCACAACATGAGGAACTGTATTTAAAGGGCCAGAAGGTTGAGAACCACTGAGCTAGAGAACCAGTTGAAGGACACTGTAAAAAAAGTCTGTCAAATACAAAAGATCATTCTCGAGGACAACTGGCCCAACCTCTTCAATAAGCTCGTGTTACAAAAAAAGAAAAAAGTGTTGGCCCTGGCTGGTGGTTCAGTGGTTAGAGAGAGCATCAGCCTGCACACTGAAGGGTCTCAGTTAGATTCCCAGTCAAGTGCATGTACCTGGGCCTGGGTTGCAGGTTCACTCGCCACACCCGGTGGGTCGCAGTATGTGTGTGTGGGGTGGGAGGCAACCAATCAATGTAGCCCTCTAACATCCATGTTTTTCTCTCTCTTCCCCCTCATCCCTCCTTCCAACTCTCCCTGAAAAGCAATGGAAAAAATATCCTCAGGTGAGGATTAACAAACAACAAAAATGTTCCAAGAATCCAGATTAGGAGAGAAAAAGAGTCAAGACACATAACGTGGTGCAATGCATAGTTCTTGGCTAGGATCCCAGATTGGACAAAAATTACCTCTGAAACTTCTTGGGACAGTTGGGAAAATGTGAATATCGATTTGTATGAGGTCAAGGACATATTAATTTTAAGCGGTTATTTTGGCAATGTATAAAATGTTGATTTTTAAAATCTATGTACTGAAGTAAAAAATTAAAACAACCAACTTGCTCTTCCACTCATACTTTTTACCTTACAAGTTTAGAATGGGCCCTGGCTGGTGAGGCTTGGTTGTCTGGGTGTTCTCCCATGCACTAGGAGGTTGCTGGTTCTATTCCTGGTTAACAGCACACTCCGTAGGGGGTGTACAGGAGGCGGCTGATTGGTATTTCTCGCATGGATGTTCCTCTCCCTCTCCCTTCCTCTCTCAAAATCAAGAAACTATTCTTTAAAGAAAAGTTTAGAACGGGTTGGTAAATTCGTAAAAGACCAAAAAACAAATATTTGAGGCTTTGTGGGCCATAGTTTTGTGCAACTCAACTCTACTGTTGTGATCTAAAACAGCCATAGACAACATGTAAACAAACAGGCATGGCTGTGTTCCAATTTTTTAAAAATATTTTTTTATTGATTTCAGAGAAGCAGCAAGGGGGAAGAGAAAGACAGAAACATCAATGATGAGAGAGAATCATTGATCGGCCGACTTCTGCACGCTCCACACTGGGGATTGACCCCACAACCTGGGGAAGTGCCCTGACCGCGAATCAAACCATGACCTCCTGGTTCATAGGTCAATGCTCAACCACTGAGCCACACTGGCCGGGACCAATACAATTTTTTTTTTTTTTTTTTTTTTTTACAGAAACAGACAGCAGGATATAAGTTTGCTGAACTCTGACCCAGGAACAAATACCACTTCTCCTGAAAAAGTCTTTCCTGGTGCCCATCACAGTCAGTGGCTTTATCTTCCTTCCCTCTGCTTACATATTGCTTGTGAAGCCACTTCTGGTATTTATTATGTCTTATTATATAATCATCTCCACTAGGGAGTAAGTCTAGAAGGTAGATGCCATTTTGCTACATGAACTCCCCCATACCTACCCCAGTGAGTTCCTTGCAGAATCGTCTGAATATTGTTTCCCAAAACCAAATCTACCCTAAATGGAAGGTTTGGTACCATTCATGATACTGAAAAATGAGCAGTAGGTTCTGAAAGTAAATTTGAAGGAAACTCGGGGGGAAAAGCACTACTGGTATCACTAGAGTACATATATTGCCTCTTATGCTCTATATTGTAATGTGTTCACCACTAATTAATGATCAGACCTGTGCGTGTGAAAGTATAGAAAAGGATAAAAAAAAGTAGTAGAGATTCAGTTGGCACAGGAATGCCCTGATGCCCACCCCCCTTACTCCCACTAGAGTATCTAGAGTACTATTAGATTTACAGTTGGTGCATGATAGTGCCAACAAATTTAAAAATGTAACACTCAAGGAAAAGAACACTTCCTTTTTCTCATGAAGGGAGAAGGTGGCAGCAAACGCCTACAGAAGTGTCTAGAGGTCTGACAACCACAGCCGGTTGTTCCAGGTTCCCTTCCTCACATTGGCTTTCTCGGTTAGAAGGCATTGGGGGTAGAGGCTTCCCTGCCTACGATGGAATCCCAGATTCCAAAGCAAAGGTAGAACGACAGAGAAAGGTACATGAATAACTTCTGTGGGAAGTGTCCCAACCCCAGGAACAGAAGACATGGAATTAGGGGCAGAGGCAGACCCTGGAACAAAACAAAATTCAGATCACTGGAGAGAGTGTTGGCTGCTATAGAACAGGGGACAGGAGGGAAGGGTGTAGGAGAGCGCACAGGGAAAAGATGTGAGGTGCCCACTAACCCCAGACAGACAGCCTCTTAAAACAGAGGTTAGTTCTAAGAAAAGGATAGGTTACAAAGTAAGAAAGAAGGGGAATTAAGGTGAGAAAAAAGGCCAAAGCAGGGGAGAAGTTTTACAATGGGGAGTAATATTGAATTAAGAATTTAGAGTTGAGTGAAAGGTTTATTATTAGTGCAGTCAACACGATGGAACAGCACATGTAACACAACCAGCAACCTGCAGACACTAGTGCAAAGGGTGGGGAAGCCTGAGCTGAGCTTCCTGGCTCCGTCGGAGGGTGATGCCAGGCGGGGATGGGCCTTGGTAAGGATGGCAGGGGCCGAGGGGAGTGGAAGAAATGTAGTAACCAGATTAAGTATAGCAGCGTTTTCAAATTCCTGAGCACAATGTCCTGGAGCTGGAACGTATGACTGCTCCCTACTCCCTTCAAGCTGTATCCCTCCAATCCAATCCCAGTGGAGCCGTGACCCACTACCCAGACCTACAGCAAGCTGGCCTGGACTGAAACTCCCAGAGAAGCTGTTAGAAGGCCTTCTCTTCAACCCCACTCCCACCTACATATTAAAATACTCACACCCTCTACCCTCCCCTTCTCTTACTCTGCAGTCACCCTAGTGCAGTGATGGCGAACCTTTTGAGCTCGGTGTGTCAGCATTTTGAAAAACCCTAACTTAACTCTGGTGCCGTGTCACATATAGAAATTTTTTGATATTTGCAACCATAGTAAAACAAAGATTTCTATTTTGATATTTATTTTATATATTTATATGCCATTTAACAAAGAAAAATTAACCAAAAAAATGAGTTTGCGTGTCACCTCTGACACGTGTGTCATAGGTTCGCCATCACTGCCCTAGTGGGTCAAGGAATGCCTGTGTAGTCTGAAATGGAGCTGCAGCCATTCAGGGGTGTGGATGGGACAGAGTATTGTCTGTACTCAGGGACAAAGGCATAATTTCTGCTCCATCTTGCCTGGTGAACCTTAGATCCCAGCTATATGTCTCCAAGGAAATGGGGTGGTTTCTTCAAAATTAATACTCTAAATCCAAATTTCATGATGAGACCCTGGAAGGGCCAGGAGCAGTTCCCCAGAGGCTCAGGCATCGGTGCTGCCTGTCACATCCATCCCTGGAAGAAAGGAAGCTCATCTCAGAGTGGGTTACGGAGGGTTGGAGCCAACATAAGTTCCGCCAAGGACTCCTTTGGCCCTTCCTACATTATAGCCAAAGGTTGTGCTGAAAAGGAAAAATATAAAATAGACCCCACCCCTGTCCCACCCTATTCAGAATCCCCACCATAGGAACAATAAAAGAAAAATTTTAAGTTTTGTTCATTTTTTTCTTTTTCCTTTCTTTAAAAAAAAAAAGTAAATAAATTAAATTGCCAACAATGTGGCTGGGCTGGAAAAGTGGGGTAGCCTTAAGTAGGCCATTCTTAAAAAAAAAATGTGGGAGGGAGTGAAATATAAACACACCACAATGGCCAAAGGGAATTATCAAAATGACTAGTTCAATCACAGGGCTGGAGGGGCAGGGAGCTACTATGGCCTGTGCCAGAGGCAGGTGCCTACCTGACTTCAGCAAATGCCAGAGAGCTGCTTCGTGCTGAGCATATTCACCCCAACAGACTAACCCCTACTCCCACTCCTGCATTCCTTAACTAAGAGAAAGTATAGGAAAGAAGAGCTCATCTGGAAATTTTCGGCATCCCAACCTGCACACCTGCAGACCAATGGGAGCCTGCACCTTTAAGATGGACTAAACAAGGTATTGCTTGGCACAGAGTTCCAGTCTTCCCCTAAGGGCCATCAATGATGGCCAGTTACTGGCTCATTACTTCTAGGGTTTTGGTTCCACCCTTCCTATTTCTTCAGGATGCCTGCTCCCAGAGCTGCCCGCTAAGTGTTTAGAGTCAACAGGCCTGCCTGCTCAGATTCCCGGGTTTGAAGAGGGGAATGATTCAAAATGTCTCACTCCACCCTGATCCTTCAAGAGAAAATGAGTATCTTTGTGCTTTCTGAAAATATCTGGAACCAGGGACCCTAGGCAGGAAAGTGGATATAGAATGGGGACTTTCCCAACCAGACTGAAAATTTACAGACATCTTAGGGGAAGGAATTAGGCAAAAGAAGGGAACCTGGGTTTCCCACCCACAAGGCTGAGCAAAGTGTTCCAGGGCCCCTCAGTGCCCGAAGAGCACGGAGATGTGTGGCTCAAGGATAAGCCACAAGATTAAGGACAGGGGGGAGGACTCAGGGCTCAGCTACTGGAGTGATGAGATTTTCTGATTTCCATCTCTTCCTGACAGCCCGCGGGGATCTATATCTCTTCAACGCCATGGGCAAATATCATGACGAGCCCCGGCTCCTGCACCATGTCATCGCCCATATGCTGGTTCTCACAGGCCATCACGACAACAGCCTGCTTGCCAGGGATGCGTTTGGCCACATAGTTCTCGTAGTACCGCCGGTTCATCTGTCTTGTCTCTAGTGTGGCCAGACCCTGGGGCCAGCTTCGCTCATGGGCATTTTCTATCAGCTCGTTGACAATAGAGGCAGGACAGCCACTCTCCACCAGGGAGCGCTTGATTACAGCCTGGAGGACAGCATCTGGGGTGGAGATCATCCCTCCCCAGCGGGTCACTCTTGCTGGCTGCAGGGAGTTCACCCACCTGTGTGGAGGGAGATGGAGGTGGTCATTCCAGCTCACTATCTATCTCTGCATTGCTTCTTTCCCCAATAGGAACCACCACCCACTCTGCACTTAGCTTAACCCTATTCTTTCCTTCCTTCCTTCCTTCCTTCCTTCCTTCCTTCCATCCATCCATCATTGGTTCACAAACTCCTAATCTGTCCCTAGTTGGTCCCATCTGAGTCACCATATGCTACTCACCAGATTAAACTCCACGAGTATGGGGTCCCTATTATTTTTCTTAAAAATTCCAATACTTAGCACACATAGTGCCTGGCATGTACTAGGTGCTCAACAAACGTTTACTGAAGGAAGCAATTACTCCTCTATACTATGTCCCCTGCAGCACTATTTGCACTAGATATATCGATTCAGCCTTCACAGTTTAGTCTATGAGATATACAGGACTCCAGAACTGAAAGGGATCTTACATTTTGCTTGTTTACTTCATTTCATTTATAGATCACTTTCCTGGATTTGCACTCTCTTTTCTTCTCTGGATTGTAAACTCTCTAAAGACAGACAATATCTTCTATTTCTTTTTGGCCCTCCTACCATTCTACAGCCTTTAATACAGGGTTTTCTACATGTGGGTATTCACCTAATTCTGGAGAAATTGCATCCTTGGGTAAGCTTTCCCTTCCATCCACCCCCAAAAAGAAGAAGTCACAGACTGGCCTGAAGGTGATCCTCTTCTCCTCTACCCCTGTCCTTCATCCCAACATCTGAAAAGTGGTGGCCCCAGCCCAGCCCTCCTATCATCCTTCTCTGCCACTCCCCTGCTCTTCCTCCTTTCAGGGCTCAGTGCCAGGATGTGGAGGAACTCCACGTCCTGAATGACACTCACTCTAGGATCTCATTGTATTCAATTGTCTCCTCCAGATTCTGAAGGTTGGGGTTGACACTGCGGATTGCACGCATGTATGCCTTCAGCAGCTGGATGTCTCGCTTCTGTTGGAGAGAAAGAGAACCAGCGCTGATGGTTAAGGCAGAGAATAGATGACAGACAACAGTTTATCTGAGAATGAGGGCAATTGAGAGATCAGAGGAACTACCAGACTGTAAGCTTCATGAAGACAAGGATATGACTGTTTCATTCACAGGTGTATCCTGTGCTTAGCAAAGTGCCTTCATAGAGAAGGCACTGGACAAATGTTAGGTGGATGAATGACAGTGAGGGGATGAAGGGAAGGGAGAAGAGCTCCAATCTGACTCCCTACTAGGCCTCAGGTAGAGAATCTACTCAGCCAGGTGCACAACCACAGGCACAGATCTGCAGCTCACACGGTGCTTATCATTCACAAGCATGTGGTCTTTGCATACTAGGGACACGCTTTCCCCATGTTCCTCGGGCCCTACCTGCTCCGACAGCTGGTGTTTGTGTTCAGCCGAGGACTTCTCCAGCTCTGCGATGCGTGTCTGCTGCTGCTGTACCACTGAGCGCAGGTGTTTAACGCAGTTGTGGTTTGGCAGCTCATCTTTGGGCATCTCCAGGCTGCCATCCCGGGTGGGAAAAGAGAACAGGAGCACTCAATGGGACATGTGGGCAAAGGCAGAAGCTTGCTGAGAGGGCTTTCTCTTACCCCAAATTTCCAACATTCATTCATTTCTAACTTCAGTCTTCCCTCTTATTTCTCTTCACACACTTCTCCCCAGTCTCCCCCCCCGCCCCCATCCCTTCGCTATCTACTTTCTCTGGGTTTCTTCTCCTAAGACAGTTTTTACCTACCACATGGCTCTCTTTTCCTTCTTAAGATTCTGCCTGTGCATTCATTCATGAGAAGCCCTAGATTCGCAGTCCTGGCTATTGGCATTTAATCAAATATTTTACATCCCACAAAAAGGGAGAAAATAGGGTAAGAGGAAATATGAGAAGGCTGGAAATTAGAGCAGTCTAATGAACAAAGAGAAAGTAATAACGGACTGAAAGGGAAGACTAAAGTAAATCAAGTCGTTAGTGTTATCACACAGATTGCTGAATTGCTGTCTCCCTTATAGTAAAGCAAGAGCAAAAAGATCGTAGTTGGAAAAGCAGCATGAAAGTGAGATCTTGGGGCAGGATGCCAGGGAGGCCAAGAACACTCCTTGCTGTGCCTATATGCACCTTAACAGTGAGCAGGGGATCCAGAGACTGGGGTATAAATGGGAATGCCCTTATCCATGTGGGCAGAAGGGAAAGAATCTCACCCGCAGCCCTGTTCACAGGTCACAGGCCGTTTTGGGTTGTGCTCACAGTCACTGAGGTGAGACATGAGGTTATCAAGCCGAACAACAGCACTACAGCCAAATACAGCGTTGTCGCAGGCAATCTGCAGCTTTGACAACATGTTCCGCATGATCCGAGGTACTGGGCGCAGGTGGGCAACCGTCACTACGCTGCGGTCCACCGGGCACGTCTGCTGCTGAGAGAACCACTGGGTGATGCAGGCATTGCAGAAAGCATGCTCGCAATGAGGTGCCTAGAGAGAGAGTAGAGCGAACGGACACAAGAGAATTAGCAGGAGCTAAGAGCCTGTGTATGGGAACTGGAAAAGCCAATCAGCCCCTGAGCGGCTTCCAGGCCCAGAGGTTGCTGGGGTCACAGCAGAATACAGCTGCACTACGGGCAAACAAGCTATTATGGGGGACAAGCTACAGATACGTTCCTGTGCTCACGATTCCAACTGGATTGTGACAAAAGACAAACAAGTAACAATAAGTTATGTAACAATATAAATATTCCAGGACAATAGGAGAGGTGACGCGAGGCAGTCAATTAGTAATTGCCAACTGGATTGCACATACAATAATTACCAAAGAAATTCAGAGGAGGGTGATCCAAGCTAGGTCAATCAGGGCAGGTGTTTATGGAGAGGACAGAGTTCAATATGGGCCCTGAAGGATAAGGAGGGTGAGGGCCAGCAAGAGATTTACTGGCAAAAATTCAATGTAAGAAAGCAAAACAAAACAAAAGCCTGGAACTCCAGGTGAGAGGCTGAGAGTCCTCCGTGTGGGCCCAAGTTCGTATTTTGGAGGGCTGCTTTGTCCCGAGTCCCAATGGCTATGCCTACCTTCCAAAACAGGGCTGGTTTTTCATAGAATCACATTCTCCTCAGTTTCATTAAGATCATACTTCAGCCTGCTTCCTGGATAACTCAGGTAACCTCTAAAGTTAGTCCCTCAAAGAGAGAGGATTCTCTGGCCTCTACGGAAACACTATCTAGCTTCTAGCATGGGACAGACATAGTAGCATTTAGCAGATGTTAGATGTTGATGGATGGATGGATGGATGATGGATGGATGGATGGATGGATGGATGGATGGATGGATGGATGATGGATGGATGGATGAAGTGCCTTCTACGTCCCAAACACTTTGCTAGGTGCGTACAATAAAAAAAGACAGTTTCTGCCTTTAAGATATTCACAGACACCAAAGACTGAAACACAGAGGCTTTGTAAGGAAAGAAGTCATTGTCAGTATCACTAATCCAACTGTCAGATTTTTTTTCCCACTCAGATATTTGATTCTTTCCAAAATCTTAGAAAACCGTATCTCCAAAAAAACTTAAATTTGTCAACTTTCCCCCCATCTCTACAGCAACTAACCCAGTTCAAGCAATCATTTCTCACCTGTATTACTAGATATGTCTTTAACTTCTACCTTGCCCCTTTATACTCCACTAGAGGCCCAGTGCACAAATTTGTGCACGGATGCGGGGGCCGGCCAGCCTGCTGATTGGGGCTGGGCTTGTCGAGGGGAGGAGGAGATGGCGGGAGGTTGGCTCACCAGCCTGCCCCCAAATGGGGGGGGGGGGGCGATTGGGTGCCAGCAGCCTGGGGGTGGGGCCATGGGTGGTTGCTGGCTGGCCCTGCCCCTGATCAGAGTGGGGGGCCCACTGGGGACAGGGCCGGCTGGGGGGAGGGGCCGCAGGAGGTTGGCCAGCCTGCAGCACTCCCCTCCCACCCTGATAGGGCCAGTTTGCTGGCCTTAGTGGGCGTCATAGCGACCAGTTGTTCTGGTCGTCACGGCATTCTGTTCACTGGCCTTTTATATATAAAGATTCTATCTTCAGAGCCAGAGTGATCATTTAAAAATACAGACTGGCCGAAACTGGTTTGGCTCAGTGGATAGAGCGTCGGCCTGCAGACTGAAAGGTCCCAGGTTCGATTCCAGTCAAGGGCATGTACCTTGGTTGCGGGCACATCCCTAGTAGGAGATGTGCAGAGGCAGCTGATCGATGTTTCTCTCTCATCGATGTTTCTAACTCTCTATCTATCTCCCTTCCTCTCTGTAAAAAATCAATAAAATATATTTTAAAAAATAAATAAATAAATAATAAAAATACAGACTGGATCATATCACTGCCCTGCTTAAAACTTTACAATGGCTTCCCATTGTACTTAAAATAAATCCAAACACCTACTTAACTCAGGACCGGTAACATTCTGCTTGATCCGACCCTGTGCCTATGCCCTCTGCCTACCTCACACCACATTTCCAACACTGTGTTCAGGCCATTTGGCTTTCTTTCTGTTCCTGTCCACACCCACACATTCCTGCCTCAGGACCTTTGCTTTTGCTGCTCTTTGACTGAAATGCTCTTCCTCTAAATCTTAGCATGAATAGTCCCTTACTGAGATCTCAGCTCAACTGTCATCTCTTTTGTGACCATCTTAACTAAACCTGCCACCCTTGCAGAAATATATAGAATGTACTACCTTTCATGTAAGAAAGGTGGGCAAATATATATCTGCCCTCATACATACTGGAAGGATAGCAAATAAACTAATAAATATCGATGGGGAGATTAGGTAGATAGGACAGGGATGCAAGTGTTCGCACTGTACACCATTTTAAAAATAATTTAAAAAAATTGATTTGGGAGAGAGGAGGGGAGAGAGAGAGGAGGGAAGGAGAAAAACATCGATTTGTTGTTCCACTTATTTATGCATTCATTGGTTGATTCTTGTATGCAACCTGCAACCTTGGCTTACTGGACAATGCTTTAACAAACTGAGCTACCCAGCCAGGGCCCTGTAGCCCTTTTGTTACTGTTTTGATTTCTGAACCTGTGAATGTTACCTATTCGAAAAATAAAGAAACATGATGTAGGGAAATCAGCATCCCCAGCAGGGGCCTCCTACCCTGGGAAATGTGGCTGGTCACTGGGCATCACGAGGTCTGCCTTGCCAGAAGGTAAACCCTGAAGGTTGGGGAGTGGCTTCTGATAGACTCACCACTGCCAGCGACCTCTCCACGTGTGTCTCAACTCAGATGATAGAGCCAGACACAGACAAGGCCCTGCCTCGCGGGGAGGGAACTGACACACCCATGACCTCTCGACACCATCAGGATAGCTTGCTCCACAGCAGCCGACCTGCTTCCAATAGCAGTGGGCTGCCAAGGCCTGGCAGCCAGGGAGAGGGGCAGGGCGAGCTGCCACCGGAGTAGAGGCTGACTCATGCAGCTCCGGCTCTGTGCTCCGCTGGTGGTTGGAAACTGGAGAGGAAGAATAAGCTCCGAGGATGAAGGCGAGTGGGTGCAGTGAGCTGTATAAGCAGTGCGGGGGAAGGGCCAGGAGACTTCACTGACAAGTGTCCTGGCTTGGACAATGGGATTATCCCAGCTAGCCAGCGGTGGGGGAGGGTTAATTGGTATTTACAGAGTTCAGGCAGAAAGGACCATGCAGGAGGATGTCCCAGGAATACAACTGTTAAGAACTCATCTCACTCATTATACTTGCCTGTTCATCATGAACTTCTCCTCATACTTGCCCCAGGAAGATACAACTGACTCTGGTCTGGCAAGGCTGGTAGAGAAATGACCTACTGAAGATGGCAGCTTTCATATCAAATGCAGAGGACATGGCTGCATCAAAAATTGGTTTTTCCAATAAATCCCAGGAAGAAAATAGGTCAGTACACACAGTTCCCCACTTCCCATTTGTTCAACAGTAGGCGGGGCCTGCAGGGACCTGGCTGATTACCCAAAACACTACGCCATCAAAATGCAGAGAACTTATCAGGAGAGTCCAGAGGTTTAATCACGGGTTGGAAGACAGAACCTTGTGAGAGCCCCTGCAGAGGAAAGGAAGTTCTCAAGCCACTGTCAAAAGACAAAAACAAAAAACTGACCATTTTACGGCAGAAAAATCTCAGAGTGACCTTGGGAGAAAATCGGAAGCACTGGACTTCTGGGCATCCACCTCCAGACAGACTCCGGAGCCCTGTTCCTCTTGTATGGCCATTGCTCTTCTGCCCAAACCTCTGTTCTGTGTATGTGTGAAGGGGAAGCAGGGTACTGGGGAGACACAGCACAGTGCCTCTCTCTCTTGGTCCCATTACCTATGAATACTTTCCACAAGCTCCACTGCCATCTCTTGCCTCACTACACCTGCCAGCAGACCGACTCACCTGGACTGGCTCCTCCAAGACTCCACTGCAAATAGGACAGATAAGATCTTCGTCAACATCCCCCTGGAAGCGGGTTACATCATACCCCATGTCTCATCACTGAAACCCAGGCCCTGGAAGGAACCAGAGGAAAAAGAGGCCAGTTCAGAGGAAGCCTACAAACAAGTGCCAACTTGAACTCATTGCTAAGATCCGTTCATTTGTCCAACATTTATTATTTTTAAAAAACATATTTTTATTTATTTCAGAGAGGAAGGGAGAGGGAGAGAGAACAGAAACATCAGTGATGAGAGAGAATCATTGATCGGCTGCCTCCTGTACGCCCCCTGGGTTTCAAGCCTGCAACCCAGGCATGTGCCCTTGACTGGAATTGAACCTGGGACCCTTCAGTCTGCAGGCCAATGCTTTATCCACTAAACCAAACAAGCTAGGGCCAACAATTATTTATTGAGGGCCTACTATGTGCCAGTGATTTGGGGTGAGTGGGGAGCAGACTCAAGAAATTTAACTCTAATGGGATATTACACAGCATACATTTAAAATATGAAGTGAGCCTGGCTGGTGTGGCTCTGTGGTTGAGCGTAGACCTATGAACCAGGAGGTCACGGTTTGATTCCTGGTCAGGGCACATGACCAGGTTGCGGGCTCAATTCTCAGTGGGGGGCATGCAGGAGACAGTCGATTGGTGATTCTCTCTCATCATTGATGTTTTTATCTCTCTCTTTCCCTCTCCCTTTCTCTCTCAAATCAATAAAAAAAATTTAAGTGATAAATGCTCTGATAGAGTAAGGCACTGTAAGATTATAAGGGCAAGAGATGTAGATACCTAAGCCAGGCTTAAGGGAGAGGGTGATTTTGAGAAGTTTTCTAGGACTAGGTGTCACCACCAGGACAAACAAGAGTTAGGTAGGTGAGGGGATGGGGGCAGGACGGGCATTAGCGTTTTAGCCACTTTCAAAGGCCCAGAAGTAAGAGGGCATATGATGGGTTCAGGGAACTCTAGTGGTTTGGAGAATGGCTGACCTGAAGGGTGCCAGAGAAGTAGTGTCTAGATCAGCCGTGGGCAAACTACGGCCCTCGGGCCGCATCCGGCCCCATTTGAAATGAATAAAACTAAAAAAAAAAAAAAAAAAAGACCGTACCCTTTTATGTAATGATGTTTACTTTGAATTTATATTAGTTCACACAAACACTCCATCCATGCTTTTGTTCCGGCCCTCCGGTCCAGTTTAAGAACCCATTGTGGCCCTCGAGTCAAAAAGTTTGCCCACCCCTGGTCTAGATACAAGGCTGGAGGTGAGCAAGGGTCAGGCCCTTATATAAAGCGTTGGGACTTCATCCTGAGGCTATGGGAAGCCACTGAAAGACTGAAAAGGAATGACCGGATAAAAGTTCCCTTTTAGAATCACTCTGTCGACACAGGTGGGATTGGAGACAGGAAGGCCATGTAGGCAGGAGAGAGATGATGAGAGTCTGAACTTAGGTGGTGGCAGTGGGAGTAAAGAAGGATGGAGATTCAAGAGGGCAAGTGCTCAAAGAGCAGTGCGGCTGTCATGCCTCCTCTTAGGGCTCCTAGGGGTCACACCCAAAGAGGTCATGAACGGTGGGTGACTGGTTCTCCAGTGTAGATAGCCAACTGGATACAAGACAGCCAATCCACAGACCCACCATCAACTGTTGATGTCTTGGAAAAGATAAGCTGAGAGATCAGATTGTTCTCAGAAATTCAGAATCAAGCTGTCCAATTTTTTTTTTTTAATATATTTTATTGATTTTTCACAGAGAGGAAGGGAGAGAGATAGAGAGTTAGAAACATCGATGAGAGAGAAACATCGATCAGCTGCCTCCTGCACATCTCCCACTGGGGATGTGCCCGCAACCCAGGTACATGCCCTTGACCGGAATCGAACCCGGGACCCTTCAGTCTGCAGGCCGATGCTCTATCCACTGAGCCAAACCGGTTCCGGCCCAATTTTTTAAAATATATTTTTATTGAAAGAGAGAAAGGGAGAGGATAGAGAGATAGAAACATTGATGAGAGAGGAACATCATCAATCGAGGCAGCAACCTGGGCTTGTGTCCTGACCAGGAATTGAACCAGCAATCTCTTGGTTCTGGGTCGATGCTCAACTGCTGAGCCACACTGGCTGGGCATGCTGTTCATTTTTTAAAAGGGAAGGGGAGGGATGAATCCAAAGAGGCCTTGCTAGGTCAAGTACAAGCTAAAATACAGCACTGGATTGAGTCAGAACTGAGATGTGCCAGTTCTACTACTCATTCATTACCTGTGTGACCTTGGGCAGACCACATAAACTTCTGAAGCC